GGGGAAAAGAACTGTCTTTGTGTCTTATGAGCAATGCCTTTTAGTCAAGGGTGGGATTCAAATTTCTTAACAACTGGCTCTGTGGGTTAATTTGTGGGTATGGCTTGGTGGTCATGGGACTGGTTGGTGTGGCTTGCTAGCTGGGCATGACTTGGTGGTCATGTGACTGGGTAGGCGTGGCTTGGTGGTCACGTGACTGGGTGGGCATGGCCAAGTGGCCATGTGACTGGCAAACCAAATACAAGTGGTCCTTGCTTAATGGCCGGTTGCTTAGCAAGTGTTCTAATTTATGACTGACCTCCCCAGAGCTACTTGACCTGTTTTTGGAGTTTTAATAGACACACACACACACACACACACACACACACACACCCTTCTAACCTTTTCTGTCAAACCTCCAGTAAGTTCCCTTCAGCATGGGAAGATTTGCTGTAGACAATGACATCTTTAAGGGTTTTCCACATATTAGCTGGTTCATTTGTTGAGAGCTGATTCCTCAGCTTTTCAGAATAGCTTCATTTTGCTGCTCTGATCACTTTTGTTAATAATTCCTGGCCTAAGTGTACAGCATTCTATCTCCTTTCCTGCTTGCTTCCTCTTTGGTATGATGTAGCTGTTTGAACTTATCTATGAACCAAGGTTTGTTGTTATTGTGTATTCATAGTTTTCTGGCCTTCACAAAAACTGACATGTCACAGTATCTGCGAGTTCATCCCAGTTTGCAGAGGTAGCTTCAAAAAATTTCCTATCTGTGCAATCAAGGCAAGCCTATAGTTTTAATTATGCCTCCTCAGTCCAAGACTTCACTGATTTAACTGTTGGTTTTATGGTTTTAAGCCTTTGTCTATGAGTAGGTACAAGGTGAATCATACACTGATCATCTGCTTTACCAGCTGCTTATGGTAAAAACTGATAAGCATCTTTTAATGTTGTGTAGCAGTGATCTAAAATATTATTTCCTCTAGTAAGATAGTCGGCATGCCGGACGTATTTTGGCAACTCTTGGCTTAAGTTAGCACTGTTGAAATCACCTAACACAATAAGAAAAGTATCTGGGTATCTTAGTTCATCCCACAGAATCTGGTTAGCTAGATAATTTGTAATGTATTATGTATGCAAGCTTGGGGTAGAATGTACATAGCAACCAGAATAAATGAGGAGAACTCTTGTGGACAATAAAATAGTTTAAAATTGATAAATAATATCTCTAAGTTCTCATCACAATATTTCTTCAGTAAAGTTACATTTTTACATCATTTGTTGTTGATATAAAAGCAGAGGCCTCCTCCCCTCTTTTTACTGGTTGATTCTGCAATTCTATCTACTCTTTGAATCTGAAATCCTGTGGTTTGCAGGTAGTTACCATTAATCAACTTGTTCAGCCACATTTCAATGAAACAGAGGGTTGCCAAATTAGAAAAATCTGTATTGTTTCTATTTAAGAGTAGCAGTTCATCTATCTTATTTACTAGTAAGCGAAAATTAGTTAAGTGCAGAGAGATGAGGGTAGATTTGCTTATCCTATGCTTCCTGAGCCTTTGTAATATCTCTCCTCTCCTGCCTCTCTTCCTCTTCCTTTTGTTTCTTTTTATGCTTCTTCATTTCCGCCAGGCCAGAAGAGATAACTGCCCTTCTCTCAGTCAGAATTTCCACCACATTTGAAAAGAAGAGAGGAATAGTCCCAGAAACCTGTTTGTTTGTAAAGACCATTCTTTAATATCCAAAAGTTCAATTCTAGAATATGAAATTCTTAGAGAGTCACAGAAAATAATAAAAATCATTAAAACTACAAGAGAGCATTTCACCAAAGCTGCTGTCAGCACCACCATCTTGAGGCAATTCTAGTAGGAAAAGCTATGAAAATTGACTAATTAATTGTGCACTAATTATGCTGAACTATATATAAAGTAAATCTTATCCCTGGGACATAGATGATACATCACATTAAGACTTTTTCAGCAATATCCTCACGGTATCTAAAATATATCCTGGGTGTCATTGCTTGTGATCTGGAATAAAGCTAGTAGCTGAGCTAAGAGGCAGATAGCAAAAACAGTTGGAAAAAAAGGTCATTCAGCCATACAGAGTCAGGCAGGTGAAATTATATTGGTTCTTATTAATGTAATGATGACTGAATTTGTAGTTGCAAAAATGTTTGGTCACCTATAGCAATGGGGCTTAAATGCTGCAGACGGCAGCAAACAGTTTGATCCATAGCAAAACTGATTGTTTTATTTCAGCATTTCAGCATTTTAAAGGATTTCAGTTTCTTCTGTTTATGGTACATATAAGGAAGGTCCAAGATTGACTGGATATTTTGAGAGTTCAAAATGCAAGCTCTCCATTATTTAAAAAATGTCCCATTTTGGTTTAGTTTATTTTCAGCTTTCAGAATAAGCCTCCACAATTTGACATAACAAATGATATCAAGAATCTTAACTTTACATCTGATCACATTTTGAACTGTCTTTAAATGTCTGCTAAGGTGCCCCTCTCAGGTCAAGAAAAGTTTAAAGATATACCACTGCTCAAAAAAATAAAGGGAACACAAAAATAAGACATCCTAGATCTGAATGAATGAAATACTCTTATTAAATATTTTGTTCATTACATAGTTGAATGTGCTGACAACAAAATCACACAAAAATTATCAATGGAAATCAAATTTAGCAACCCATGGAGGTCTGGATTTGGAGTTACACTCAAAATTAAACTGGAAAAAAACACTACAGGCTGATCCAACTTTGATGTAATGTCCTTAAAACAAGTCAAAATGAGGCTCAGTAGTATGTGTGGCCTCCACATGCCTGTATGACCTCCCTACAACGCCTGGGCATGCTCCTGATGAGGTGGCGGATGGTCTCCTGAGGGATCTCCTCCCACACCTGGACTAAAGCATCCCCCAACTCCTGGACAGTCTGTGGTGCAACGTGGCATTGGTGGATGGAGCGACACATGATGTCCCAGATGTGCTCAATTGGATTCAGGTCTAGGGAACGGGCGGGCCAGTCCATAGCATCAATGCCTTCGTCTTGCAGGAACTGCTGACACACTCCACCCACATGAGGTCTAGCATTGTCGTGCATTAGGAGGAACCCAGGGCCAACCGCACCAGCATATGGTCTCACAAGGGGTCTGAGGATCTCATCTCGGTACCTAATGGCAGTCAGGCTACCTCTGGAGAGCACATGGAGGGCTGTGCGCCCCCCTAAAGAAATGCCACCCCACACCATTACTGACCCACTGCCAAACCGGTCATGCTGGAGGATGTTGCAGGCAGCAGAAGGTTCTCCACGGCGTCTCCAGACCCTGTCACGTCTGTCACATGTGCTCAGTGTGAACCTGCTTTCATCTGTGAAGAGCACAGGGGCCAGTGGCGAATTTGCCAAACTTGGTATTCTCTGGCAAATGCCAAACGTCCTGCACGGTGTTGGGCTGTAAGCACAACCCCCACCTGTGGACATCGGGCCCTCATACCACCCTCATGGAGTTTGTTTCTGACCATTTGAGCAGCCACATGCACACTTGTGGCCCGCTGGAGGTCATTTTGCAGGGCTCTGGCAGTGCTCCTCCTGTCCCTCCTTGCACAAAGGCGGAGGTAGCGGTCCTGATGCTGGGTTGTTGCACTCCTACGACCTCCTCCACGTCTCCTGGTGTACTGGCCTGTCTCCTGGTAGCGCCTCCATGCTCTGGACACTAAGCTGACAGACACAGCAAACCTTCTTGCCACAGCTCGCATTGATGTGCCATCCTGGATGAGCTGCACTACGTGAGCCACTTGTGTGGGTTGTAGACTCCGTCTCATGCTACCACTAGAGTGAAAGCACTGCCAGCATTCAAAAGTGACCAAACCATCAGCCAGAAAGCATAGGAACTGAGAAGTGGTCTGTGGTCACTACCTGCAGAACCACTCTTTTATTGTGGATGTCTTGCTAACTGCCTATGCTTCCCACCTGTTGTCTATTCCATTTGCACAACAGCATGTGAAATTGATTGTCAATCAGTGTTGCTAACTAAGTGGACAGTTTGATTTCACAGGTGTGATTGACTTGGAGTTACATTGTGTTGTTTAAGTGTTCCCTTTATTTTTTTGAGCAGTGTATTTTTAATACAACATTCCAAGGGCAGGACTGAAGTGAGTCCGGAATAGCTCTGATTCTAATAGATACAGGATTGAAAACCTAAATTGTACTCTTTGATTTCTTCATACTTTAGTTACTTGTTGAATGGTAATGGTAAGTATCTGCCACTATCTATTTTTTTCCAACTAGGAGCGGTCTGTTAATGTGCTTTATTAAATAATTTCTGTAATAAAACAAGAGCATATGCTTATTGTCAAACATTTATTTATTAGTTTGTATGCCGTTCCAGATGAGCTAAATATGAGAGTTGAAACAACAACATAAAAATAGTAAGAAACGCAACATTGTAATCAATGCAATTTATTGGAGTGATGGCATATTTTATATGAAATATGCTGTAAACTCCATACCCAAGCTTTAATTCCATTCTTATGCTGCCTCCTTTATAATTTTACCTCAATTATCTTAATGCAACTGAACTGCTTTAAGACTAGTGTATATCATCTTATGCATAATATCTGTTTAGTATTTTATTATGGAAAACTGTGTAAATTTAAAAATAAAATTTAGCCCAACAGCGTAGATTGTTCTGTTTATTAAATTATTTCTTCCATTCATATTAATACTTCTGAGATAAGATATGTGATTATAAAATCCACTTTGCAAATTAAAATGACCATATTATGTACAAAAGTTCTGCTTAATGACAACCCTCTGGGCTTTTTACTTTATCTAAAATTAGGTTAAATATAAAAAACATAATGGCAGTTGTGTTTTCATTGTTGATAACTAATAAAAAGGAAAACAACAAGGTACTGTAAGAATAAAGCTATCTTTATAGATAAGTTTCTGTAAAGATCAGGCTCTTATTCAATTGTGATGTTGAACAAGATAAAAAAAACACATATTTTAACTGACCTGTTTTTCATTTTCATCCTCCAACTTCAGCCTGTCCTCTATGCAGTTCCTGGCCTGAAGGAAGGCCTTTCTCTGAGCCCTCTCCGTCAATATCCTTACAAAGACCCCATACAGGTTTACACTGACAAAAAGGATAGCATTGGCCATAAGCTGTAAAGAGAAGACAAAAAAGAGAAGGAACACATATATAGAGAGATATATATTATAATACAGGCACTTATATACATCACCATACCACTGTAATTCTATCTAAAATCCTGCTAAATTTATTTCATTATTTTGATATTTAAATGTTACTATTCTCAACATTTATTCAGTCATTAGGATTTCCAACTGACAAGAGTCACGGGTTTTCCAGATCTGCCACCACAAATCCTTTTAATTATAAATTCTGGCTATTAAATCTGGGGACGCAGCATATGCTATATCATTACATTACAGACCTTCATCTTTGGGGTGGCAGTGGCCACAACAGAAAAAAAAAATGAAAGTCTACATCACCACCCAATTCAGAAGATGCTTGGAGCAGTTACTCTGCAAAAAGAGTATATTTATATGGTATAAATAATTATTTCCATTCAGTTGAAGATTCTATCTTTTATAAACTTCTAAAACTCTCATCAACTAAGTGATATGGTGCATCATAGAGCAAAATGTATTTCAAATGGGCTAACTTATGGAACATATCTATTTTCT